GAGTCCACCGTCATCAGATCTGGCCCTTGTCTTTAGCCCTCGTTTTATCTTTCCAGGCAGCAAAAAAGACATTGTCAAGGGCAGAAGAGTTTGTGCCAGTTGGGTTTGCTAGTGGGTTGGTTCTGAGGCCTCCCTGGATGTCCCTCTAAGACGTTGCTTACACCTTCTGGCTGGTACTGGGCCACGTGCCTTGTATGCACAGGAGTCTGCATGACACTGTAAGCCAAGTTTGCTGCTGTCCCAACACACAGGGCCCATGAGTGAGGAAGAAGGGGTGAGCAGGCATTGGTGGACAACCTGCAGTCCTGCCTTCTTGGAGTAGAGAAACGAGCATGGGAAAGAGCATACCAAAAAAGCTGGCACACAGTAGGCAGTGGTTTGGATCTCCTCCACCCAAAGTTGAACGTATAGCAGGGACCTGGCAACAGGTGATTTACAGGGGAATGGATCCCAGGAAGCAGGCGTGAGGGAAAGGGGAGATTGAGATGGGTGAGGAGGAAAAGCCAGCAACAAGACAGGTCGTCAAGGCTGTGGCAGTGGGCAGTGGGTTCGATTCCAGGGGACTGGGGAAGCATATGAAGCACCTGCCAGAGTCCACCCAAGGACAGGAGGCTGCAGAATGTGTCTGTTAGTTTTGGCTTTCCTTAGTTGAGGATGGCACGCACTCCCCTCACAGCGGCAGAGCGAGTGGAAGTCTGAGCTCGCTGGGAACTGTCCAGCAAGCAGGTGCTGAATTGAGAGGTAGGCGACATCAGCTCCCCAGGAAAAACTCCCAAGAATGACAAAATAGTCGTGTGTTCAAAGATGACCACTGGCCAATGTCATCCCTTATCAGTGGTGTCCTAGCTGTGGAACACTCTTCATGTGATCTCTTAAAATAGCTTTACTGAGATCACACTGATAATGTATGCCATAAAATTCTCCTATTTAAAGTGAACAATTCAGTAACTGGTATGTACATTAGTATTTGCCTAATGGCCATGTGTATTTTTCACCCGCTTGTTGGATATTTTGAAATCTCCTTTGGTAAAATGTCTATTCCAACCCTTCACTGCCTATTTTTAATTTTTAATTGGTAGATAATCATTGCATATATTTATCGGGCACAGGACATTTCAATATACACAAACAATGTGTAGGGGTCAGATCGGGATAATTTTCTATGTTTAATTAGGCTATTTGGGTTTTTATTGTAAATTTTTCCTACAAGTTCTAGCTACAAGTTCCTTATGAAATTACCTGATTTGCAGTTATTTTTTTTTCCATTCTGCGAACTGTTTTTATTTTCTTGGTAGTATCTTTTAAGACACAACATTTTTCATTATGGTGATGCCCAATTCTTATTTTTTCTCTTGTTGCTTGTGCTTTTAAGAGTGAAAGAAGAGCCCTGGGCCCTGTGAGCTTACCAGCAGAGAGTCAGAAGGGAGGACAAAGTGGTGTGTGAAATTTGAGGAAAGCTATAAAACGGAATTGACATTTAAGCTGGATGTTGAAGGATAAGAGGAGGATGCCAGACACAAAATTGAAGAAGAGCTTTTCGGGTAGAGAGAACATCTGGGTGGATTTTCTCCTAATCCACAGCAACTTCTTGTTACAGTTTATTATAACAGTTTCAAACGGGAACCGTCATGTATGCCAACACCATATGGTAAACAGTGACAGAGACTGCGTGTCTTGGAATTACTAAAATGAAGCCAATTCATTTGTAGATGGTTCATTTACAAGTGATACTGCATCTGTTCGGCTTCCCCCGGGAAGTAGGGAGCCGTATTTAGAGACCAAGTCAGCATTCGTTAGCAGCCTTGACAGCTCTGAGGACGCAGGTTGAAAGTGCCAGGTCTTTCTTCTGCTGTCTCTGAAGGATGCCCAGAGCCAGAGGATGGGACCTGGGAAAGGTAGCCCATGCTGGCCCCTGCCCAGCAGACAGCAGGGGATGGCCTCGGAGGAGGTGGGTGGTCCCTGCGGTGTCATCTACCTGCAGGTGTATCTAGTACCCTTGAAACACCAGACCAACAGAGATGAAACCACAGACCAGTATAAACGCACCTCTGACGTGACCCGAAGGTGAAGAGAAGGAGCCAAAGGATTAAGATTGCTTTTCCTACAACCTGGGGAACGTGCGACTTAGCATCAGGAATTACACCATGCAGCTGGAAATAAATGGAAGTGGTATTCCTCAAGCCCCTCAACCCACAGACTGAGATCCACACCTGTGTGCACTTTTGCTTCAGCAGAAACTGCCAATAAGTGAATCTGTTTACAGACACGGGGAATGTGGGGCAGTGTCTTTCTTCCACGTTCTCTCCTGAGTTGCAGATCTTTTGAATTCTGATCAATCCAACTGGAACAAAGGGTGCTGAGGTCTCAACTCCAGTTGCACTTCCCTGGCTTCCTGGTTTGACATCTTTCCATGTGTTTATTATCCATCTGCATTTCTTTTTTAGTGAATCACTATTCATACCCTTTGCCCGATTTTCTGAGAGGCAATTCATCTTTTCCTCATTAATATGAAAATATTCTCTGTATATAAGTGAAAGTAACCTTTGCCTATGGAAATGTTTCTGTCCTATTTGTCTTTTCACTTTGTTTATGATCATTTTTTCCAAGATAAATTTTGATTGCCCATCTTAAGATCTCTCCACCCCAGGGTTATATAGTATTCTATTTTTTTCTCTACTTGCACATGCATATTTCTTACACTTCACACACATACAAATCCCAGATGGATTAGCCCATTATGTCCCATCATCCTGTATCTAGGACATCTATAAAATTTATAGTTTTATAGGTGTCCTATAAGACTTTATAGGTTTGTATAGGTGTTCTCTACATAAGATGGTAGAGCATACCAGGATAACAATCCATCTATCATCTAGTTCTGTGAGTATGTGTATAGGGGCAAAAGGACTTGTGTTTTGTGAATTTTCATGATCCATCTGCAGAACCAAATCAAACATGAACCAAATATTAAACTGTACTTCCAAGAACAGCATTACATTAGTAAAGCAATTGCTAAATTCTTCCTTGTACGTTTTCCAGCTAAAATCACCTCCATCCTTCCCACAACTTAAGAAGGAAGTAGAGCCATCCCCTGGTGCTCCCTCTTCCACATTCCCACACCCCACCCATCTGATCCTGGGGTCCTCCCTCCAGGGCTGCCTCTGCTAGCTCACACTCCCTGTCCAGCCCCCTGTGCCCTGGACTCTGGCTCCAGGATCATCCCCCTCCAACCCATCTGCACCCTGCAAGCAGGAGCTTTCCTCAGAAGCACACCCGTCTCATCCCTGCCCTGCCTGGTCCCTCCCTCAGCCCCGCCAACTCTAGGGTGCAGTCCTGGAGTCTTGGTACACAGGGCTGCTGCTGTCCTGCAGAACCCAGCCCCTCTTGGCTTTCTAGAAAACCTTTGTGGCCTCACTTCTGAAATCGTGTCTCCCAGGATCACAGTCTGGCCAGTGCAAAATACTCTCAGAGCTCAGAAACTCAAGCTTCCTTTTCAATAGATCTCAGCCCTGGCTGTGCCCCTGCTCACCTGCCAAAAACTGAGCACACACTTGTCCAGATCCTAACCCTGAGTGACTGGTTCAGTAGGTCTCCACACTCCCCAGATGGCTTTCATGGCCAGGGGGCTAGTCCCCCCAGTTTCAAGCACACACACCCTCTTCCTGGAACCCTCTCCTACCTGCTGCAACCCAGCCCCCCCACCACCACTACCTACCCCACACTGCAAATCACCTCTTCTACCCAGAAGCCAATATCTAGATGTTCCTTCCTCCAGGAACTTTTCTTTCCCATCAGGTTAGAGCCCCTTCTGTTTGCCTTCCCAGCCCCACCCCCCAGGCTCCCCTGACTCAAGTGTTCACCACACTGAGCTACGCTGGAGACATAAACCTAGCTGTTAAAGCAGTAGCAGGGTTTGAGAGAATCAACTCCTATTTTAAAGGAAGTCTTATTGTTGGTAAAATGCTACCAAACAGCATTGCATGATGCAGAGAAATCTTTCATGAAAGGGAGAAAAAAATAGATGCAGAAAACTTCATTATTATCTCATTTTAAGAAATTTCCAGAGACACCCCAGCCTTCAGCAACCCCCACTCCTACCAGTCAGCAGCAATGGACGTCAAGGCATGACCCTCCACCACCAAGAACCCTTCACCTCCCTGAAGGCTCACATGATCATTAGCATGTTTCATTCAAAAACCACATATTTTTCCAGTGCCAAGAATCAAAACAATTATCAGGCATGTGCACTTTTTTTATAATATAATGTACACTTAACAGAATACAGCATATTGTAAACATGTTTTTTAAATGCTTTGGGAAATTTCAAAGAATTTTTTGACCCACTTTATTGTACTACTTGCTTTATTGTGGTGGCCTTAAACTAAACCTGCACTTCTCCAAGTTAGGCCCACAATTGCCTGATGTCTCTGGCACCCGACTCGGAGTCCAGGGAAAACAGGGACAGCAACTGTCTTGCTCACCACTATATTCCTGCACCCAATAGAAACCTGACATGTGGTGGGTACTTATTTTTAAAAAGTAATAAAATCAATAAGCAAATGAATGAGTGAGCACATGGATGCCTCTGGTAGTTTCCTGGACAAACATGCACTGCTTGGCCGGTCTGTGCAGGCACGCAGCCTGACCTGCAGAGGGCATCAGCCCGCTTCTTCAGCTCCCTGCAAAGCCCTGGAGTCGGGACCTGCTGTCAGTCAGGCAGGTGCCCGATGCTCAGTGGTCATTTCACTGCACTGAAGATTAAGTAGGAGTTGTTCACCCTCCGCGACACATAAAACCGGAGGGCTCCCCTCACTTCCAGCGACAGGTGCCACATCCCCTGTCTTGCTGTGAATAGATCCGTAACTGTAGCAACCAGTGGCAGGTTTTCTGTTCCCAGGTAGGGATGTGAGAGGAGACGGAGAGGGGGTCAGAGGGAAAGAGAAAGAAGCCTGGCTGATCAGGAGCCACGAAGCTGCTGCTCCTGGAGAGACAGAGGAAAGTTCCCGTACTAACTTCTCTCTCCGTCCCTCTCTTTCTTCTTTTGTTCTGGGGAGAACAAAATCTGAGTCTGGACTGGACAAGTATCCAAAGAAACATCTAGGGGGAGATGCTGCCTTTCCCGTGAGCAGCAGCTGCTTCTTCGGAGCCTGCAGGAGCCCCTGCTCGGATCAGCCGTCTGTTGCCATGAACGCTTCCTGCTGCCTGCTCTGGGCTCCTCCGGTGCTGCCCAATGGCTCCCAGCGCCTCATGGCCCCTTCCAGCAACCAGAGCCACAGGGGGTTCTGTGAGCAGGTCTTCATCAAGCCTGAGGTCTTCCTGAGTCTGGGCATCATCAGCCTGCTGGAAAACATCCTGGTCATCCTGGCTGTGGTCAGGAACAGCAACCTGCACTCCCCCATGTACTTCTTCCTCTGCAGCCTGGCTGTGGCCGACATGCTGGTGAGCGTGTCCAATGCCCTGGAGACCATCATGATCGCCATCATCAACAGCAACTACCTGACCTTCGAGGACCAGTTTATCCAACACATGGACAACATCTTCGACTCCATGATCTGCATCTCCCTGGTGGCCTCCATCTGCAACCTCTTGGCCATTGCCGTCGACAGGTACGTCACCATCTTCTATGCGCTCCGCTACCACAGCATCATGACCGTGAGGAAGGCGCTCACTCTGATCATGAGCATCTGGGTCTGCTGCGGCGTCTGCGGCGTGGTGTTCATCGTCTACTCCGAGAGCAAGATGGTCATCGTGAGCCTCATCACCATGTTCTTCGCCATGGTGCTTCTCATGGGCACCCTCTACGTGCACATGTTCCTCTTTGCCCGGCTGCATGTCAAGCGCATTGCGGCACTGCCACCTGCTGACGGGGTGGCCCCACAGCAGCACTCCTGCATGAAGGGGGCCGTCACCATCACCATCCTGCTGGGGGTGTTCATCTTCTGCTGGGCCCCCTTCTTCCTGCACCTGGTCCTCATCATCACCTGCCCCACCAACCCTTACTGCATCTGCTACACGGCCCACTTCAACACCTACCTGGTCCTCATCATGTGCAACTCCATCATCGACCCCCTCATTTACGCCTTCCGGAGCCTGGAGCTGCGCAACACCTTCAAGGAGATTCTCTGTGGCTGCAATAGCATGAACTTGAGATAGATGGCCAGGGCTGTGGAAGTGGTCACCAGTACAGCCACTTTGGGACCTCCCTCCACCAACCAAGATGCTTAGAAAGGAAAAAAAAGTCCTTGAAAGGTATAGAATGTGCTAACAGCCAAGCCTGCACTTGTCTTTAAGTTCACACAACCTTTTAAAAGGGAAATGGCATCCAACGGGATCTCTGAAAGGACCTGTGTGGGTAAGTCACTGTCTGGTTCCCACACCATCTCTGCTGCTCTGAGTGCTGCTTGCGTTCACTCCTGTGTGCCCAGGGCTCCTAATGCCTGCTGCTCACCTGCTTCACACCCAGGTCTTTGTGCCCAAGCCAACCAGCCTGGGGGCTTCTCCTGAGCAGGAAGAGGGCTCGAATCTCTCACTGTTAACAGCTTTAACCTCCAGCTGTCAGTTACACACACAGAGCTCTCTTTTACTCCATTAGAGACCTAGTTCCTACTCCACTACTCTCTGGGTAGTGAAATCATCGTCTAAAAACAACTGTGAAAGACACAAGGTGATGCTGTTTCCTTCTCCTTGCCCCACAGCAGCCGCACCCCCAAATAGCATGGAGAGGTAGCCCACTGCTATCCCTGCTCCCGCTGGGGTGCTGTCACTGTCAGGTTCATGCATTAAATCAGAAGTCGCCTCCAAACTCTACTGAAAGAGGAAAAAGCTGTGGACACTCAGAATATGCCTGTTGTTCTTGTATTTTGCCACCTGCCATTTTAAGGAATGTATTACTCTTTAAAAATCATTATTATTATTCCTTGTCTGTCTGTAAAACAAGAAAGGGAACTGTGGGAGGGGGTACATATGTCACCAGAAATTGCTTTATGGTGTTTAGATAGCTGGAGGAGCTGTCTGCCGGCCCTGTGGCTTTCTTGGGAGTTGTCTGTTAGTCTGTTTTTGGTTTTGTTTCTAGCTGTGCTTCTATGTGATGAATTCAACAGCAGCCACCAAGAAGGACTTTTTACGGGTCATTGTTCCTGTTGCTCAACAGGGTGATAAGGTTGGGTGACCCTCTTTTGACCTCTGACCCTTGTCAAATGAAGCTATTCATTCCTGCACGCCCAGGGTGAGATTCATGGACAGCCTGGACCTGCACATCGCTGCTCGGGGGCAACTGCCACCTCCTCCCCGCCCAGAGTGACTCCAGCCTGTGCCCCCCGCGCCTCGGATCCTCGCATGATACCACGTCCTTGGGGCACAGTTGTGCTTTTTTAAAACTGGAATGTGTCAGGCTTTCTGTTCTTGCAGACTTTCTGTCAATGTAAGCAAAACCACTTGTTTCTTGCTTTGGTTGTGATGTTTGGAGACAATAAAAGCTTTGTAGGCTGTTGGACATGTCACACTGCAGCACACCAGCTGGAGTGCCCTGGTGGCCTGTCCACCCTACGCTTCACTCTGGTTCGGGAGCTATTCTGCAATGTCATAAATGCCCCGTGATCACTCGGCTCGCCTTTTCTAGGGCGATGCCTTTTAGCCAAACTACAAAACTCTCCAATTGGGTTTCAGAAAATACCAGGCTTCCAGTTCCTAGGCCACTGTCATTCGCCATCATTTAATCCAGACACCAAATACCAGGGCTCATCTGTCACCAGTCAGCAAGTAAGTGTGGAAGACGGGAGGTAGAATCCATGGGAAAATAGATGAACAGCTACAGGAATTACGGTCCTTTTCCTGTATAAACAGGATAAAAATAACATTATTTGGTGTCTTTTATATATCAGTTTCCACAGTATTTCATCTCATCCTGTCAGCAAGCCCCTAACATAGGGGTGCCCTTTGACAGATGAAGAGATGTTGTGCTGAGGAGCTTGTGACTGTCAGAGGCCAGCTGGGCAGGTTCCCAGGACATCTGCCTGTGCTGACATCCTTTTGCCTCGACAGGCTGCTTCCAGAGTCAAAACGACCCAGCTCTCCCCTAGACACCAGCTCCGGCAGCACTTCCAAACAGGCACGGCCCCAGGCCTCCCCCAGGGCCCCCTGCAGTCCTCCGGGTGCAGAATCTGACTCCGCAGGTTTGAGGTGGGGCCTAAGGCTCTGCTTTTCTGACTTTGACAAGCTCCCTGGGGAGGTGGCTGCTGGTCTGGGGACCGCTTTTTAAGTGGTGTGGGCATGGAGGACTTTCAAATGACCACTGATGCAAAGCCAGAGTGAAGCAGGGACAGGATGCAGAGCCATAGAAATGGTCACCAGTACAGTCGCTTCTGTCCCTTCATCTAGCCAAGAAATAAAAAGAAAAACTGGCCTACAAGACATAAAACTGTTTTGTGTGCCTAGTGAGCTGCCCTGGGCCAGAGCCGGGAAACGGGCTTCACAGGCCCACTCCCTGGGCCCTGGCAATGACCCTGGCACCAGGCCGTGCTGATTCTACAGGTGAGGCACCGGAAACTCGGAGAGTCCAGGGGCTCGTTTGTGGAGTTTAGCTCACAAATGGAGAAGTGGAGACTCCAACTCGGGCTGCCAACCCTGCCCAGTGCTCCCCACTGCCCAGCCCCTCTCCTGGAAGTAGTGTGGGTAGCCGAGCAGGGCCGGTGGCATCAGGGCCTGTGCTTCCATGGAGGGAGCCACTGGCGCAGCCAGACGGCTGTAACAGTTTCCAGAAAGATGCTTTTAAAACCAGGAGGCACAACCCATCATTTCACTAGCCGTAATTCTTCCAAAACTGTGGGTGGCACTGGGGCAGGTGTCAGAGGGGCATGGTGTCCACCGTCCTGTACCTGGCTCCACTCCTCAGGAGGGTAACCCTGAAAGTGGGGACATCCCTGTCCCCTCCCACAGCTTCTTCAGGTCTTTGCATGGGGACCCACTGGACATTTTAAAGCAGGACAGTCAGATTCAAAAGTAGTTTTCCCTCTGCCCGGGGTGCTGGCCCCCGCAGGACCCTTCCAGTCCCTGCCTCCGTGAAGGCAGAAGCTCTGGGCCTTCCTGTGTGCTCACTCGCTCATTCTCTCTCCCTCCCTCCCTCCCTCTTCCCCTCCAACGACAAAAGCCAATGGAAATCTTCACTTGGGGAAATACAACCACACAATGATGATGATTTAATTAATTTGTTGAATGATGCTCACTTTTCAATATTAAGGTGATCGTTTGAGGTTGTTTCCTTATCCTTCTAGGGGGCAGGGTCTCCTTGGATGAAAGCATTTTCACTTACCCTCACCTGCACTGAGGCCACCTACACAGAGGTCACCTCCACTGAGACCCCCTCTCACGAAGCAGCCAGTGCACATCATGCTCTTGCTGAAGCCCTCTGTGCCTCTGTGGCACCCTGGATGAAGCCCCAGCCCTACAAAGCTCTCATGGCTGATCTCTGGTAACTCTCTAGCCTTCCTATCCTGGGCCTACCTCCTGGCTCACTGAACTCAAATCTACCAGGCTCATTCCTGCCCCAGGGCCTTTGTACCTGCCATTCCCTCAGCTTGAAGTCTTCTCCCCAGACCTTCCTAAGCTGGCTCCTTTTTATCCCTCAGCCTTACCCGAAATCCTCAGTGACACCTTCCCCATCTTCTCTCTAAAGGAGTCCTTGGTGCTGACACCATCACTGTGTACTCACACATCTTATTATTGACATGTTTTCCTGCTGATTTTTTTTTGTTTGATTCTCATCAATCTCTCCCACCAGAAAGAAGTGCCTAGTAGATAAAACTGGACAAGAACTGTGTCCAATGAACACATGACTGTCGTTCCATTCCTTAACCTGCTTGTGAAAGTTTGTTAAGCTTTATTATTTGTGTGCTTTTATAGAAGCATCGTAAACACACAGAACAGTTCTCCCCACCCGCCCTGCTTGCTGTGCTGCCTGTCGAGACACACGGCCCTCTGTTCTCCCCGGAGCTCCCACCAAGCAGAGGTGGAGGCTTGGCCAGCCAGGTGAGCTGCTCGGGTGTAGCTTGTCCTTTCCACACACCTGATGGCGCACCCCTGGGACCTGCGGAGGGCCCTTCCTCCTGCTCAGACCTGTGCTGGATTTTGAAGAGGTGGCATGACCCACTGGACAATGGCAGGAACACAAGAGCAGTGCCACAGATGGTCCTTAGGAGCGGGTGCAACCAGAGTGGCTTTGAAGGACTCTGTTTACCAGGGAAGGAAATGCTGCTTCCCACCCTGGAAAGATACAGGTGCCCAACGGGGAAGCTCACTTGAAACTCAGAACCCGGGAGCCACGGGCCAACTCTGGGCACGTGTGACAACAGCGAGTGTGCGGTTGGCTCTGAGGTCCAGACGTGTCACCTTCAGAGCTGGCAGAGCTGGATCTGGTGGTGGGTTCCAACCCTGTCCTTGTCGGTGGCTGTCATAGCTTATTGCTGCCTCAGCACCGGGCTCGGGTGACAGTTCCCACGACAACACCAGCCTGGCCCCCATCTGACCAACACGGTGCCACTTGACCAGAGCAGCCGGGTCTGTGAGCCAGGGTAGCCCAGGAGACTCGAGGCCAGCAGTGAACTGATGAGACTGGGAGGCCCTCCTGCTAGCACCAGGGTGTCCAGTGGGGTCCAGGCCCCCAGTGTCCAGGACTAGGGATTGAACAAGACACACCCAAGTAACAGGCCAAGCACAGGCTGAAGGTGGGGGTGGGGGAGAGGGCGAGCGATCGAGGGGGGCGCCGGCCTGCTGTCTGGAAAGCAGCGTCTCACCTGCCCAGCCGGGAGGCCTTCTCTTCCCTCTACAGGCCGCACTGAGGACGTTACCCTGCTTACCGGCTTTGGTGACCTTATGATACCCAATTAGAATACCGTCCAATTTCCCTCCTTGGTTACTTTAGAAAACCTGATTAGAATGCTGCCCAATTTACCCCCATTGGTCATTTTAAAACACAGAAGCTGTGGCAGGAGTTGTCATGGTGATAAGGTCCTCAGTGGTGGGAGTGTCATGATAATGGGACTTACGGTAAACAGGGACATGACTCATTCCCCTGATTTGTCTCCAGCCACATCTTTCTTATACTCTGCTTCCACCGTCTTCCACCTGAACTCCTGCCTAATGCTCCCACCTCGGCTGCCCACCTACGTGGGGCTGAAAGGCCAGACTCGTCTGTCTGAGGATGAAGAAGAGACTCCTGTTGCTTACGTTTGAGTGCCAGGATCCAGCTGAGCCTG